ATCAAGATCATTGTCTTCTGGTACTGGTGGTAGATTAGCAGGATCTGGAGGAGCCATCGGAGTACTCATGTGAGGAGGTTCATCCATCGGCTGTTCTTCATCTTCGGAGGCCAGCTCTGGATGATCATGTAGATCAGGAAGTTCGAGCTGTGGTTCATTATGGCCTTCTTGTTGCGAAGGATGAACTTCTGGTGTAGGTACTTCGATCCTCACACGGGACGTAGGTGGCTCCAGGCTGTTTCCAGATTCAAGACCATCGGGAGCTGCAGGCGAAGACATAGTCAGTGGTGAAGCCTCAGTGTCTGTTGGAGTGTAGTCGAGGTCACTGATCTCTGGGTCCACCTCGTCGATCGATCTCTTGTTGGACTTGCGAAGATCGATGATGCGCACTGCACGGCGCTGCCGAAGGTCATGAAGTGCTTGCTTCACCCGATCTGAGCCATTCACCATACCAGAGTCGTTAACCAGCTTTCTCACATGCTGAGATCCAGCGCGAAGGAGCACGGCGCCGTGAGCAAGCCAGTAACACGCAATCGTTCCAGTGTCTGGGTTGCGCTCGATGGCCAAAACAATTGCAGGGCCTTTCCATCGGATGGTGTGGGCTTTGTCGGCTGCATCGCGCCAGTACAAACAGCGCTCACCAGGATGAAGATCTTCGTCTCGTCCACCATAGCGTCGCAGCAAAGCTCTGCGAAGCTTGACATCAATTTCTGCCTTTCCACATGCCTGTTGGGCTGAGAACTTCATGGCCAATCGTCGATGAAGACGTTCTTGCTCGGATACCTGCAGTTGCAAGGGTCCAGTTCGTTCGTCGGAGATGAGGCCAGGTAGTGAAGGTTCTCTGCCAAGTGCCAACTGGGAGGGGATGAAGCCATTCACAAACGTGTTGCTGTTGACTGCGGGGACCACCCATGCCAAAGCCTGATGTACTCCATCGAGTCCCTTCAGTTCATTTTCCAGCGTGAAGATGGAGACGGCTTTTCTAACCAGTTGGTGGCGTCGCTCAACAATGCTTGTGCGAGTGTGAGCTTGTCCAGGAGAGATGCGCAATTCAATGTCACGCTGTTCACACCATGATGATGTTGCATCCGAAGCCCAGCCAGTGCCTTCATCAGTATACAACTGCTTCGGAGGTCCATGCAACTGAATCCAAGCTCGCTCAAGAGCCTTCTGCAAAGTCGGGCCCTTCTCATCGGGAATAGTGCGAGCTGCCATGTAGCGAGTTGCAACATCAACCATCACCAGCACTGCAATCTTCTTGGCCTTTTGTTTTCGATGGCCAGGTTCAAGAAGCACGCCAATCTCGTCCATCTCAAGCCAAAGAACATCGGCTTGGAGTTGGGCATTGAACTCAATGGGGCGGTCAAGATGACCTGGTGCATTGCCCTTCTTGACGGAGTGAACTTCACAGTAAGGACAATGAAGATCCTGAACGGCTGCTTGAACGGATTCACTGCATCCACAGTCCTTGAGCATCTTGACCAAGATTTCCTTTCGAGGATGTCCCAAGTTGCGGTGGAGGCGGTACGCCGTGCGAACTGCTTCATGACCATGCACTGAGCCAAGCTTCCGCAAGATGCCAGACAGGGCCTTCTCCTCTTCATGGACGGCATAGACCTGTTCGTGCAGGCCTTCAACAATGAGAAGCCCTCGAACCAAAGCTGAGGCCAGCTCGTCCTGGTAGTTCTCGGCTTTGCGGCATCGATTTCTTCCTTCAAGTCGTTGATGAAGGCGCTGACCGTCACATCGCTTGGACATCAGCTGGTACATGGCCCACTTTGTGGTTTGCAATCTTGTAGTTTTCTTGATGGGCATGAGAGTGCCATCATCAGCTTCAATCACCGCACCATAGGCACACTGGTCGAAGATGGCCTGATGTCCTGGTAGTTGGCGAAGATGTTTGGTCTCCCAGGCCAAGCTCAAATATGGATGCTCCAGATGGGCATGGTCGCCACGGCGTACCTGCTTGTAGTAGAGCTTCTTGCACATTGCCAGGTGGGTTTCATGATCGACTTCACGTCGTTCCTGAAGATCCTGGGCTTGGGCCTCATTGTGGACATTGATTTGCTGCATTCTGGACCACAAGGTGCACTTGGGAGACATGTAGATCTCATCGGGCTCCAACTCATCGCACAACCTGAGCAATTGTTTTCTGTGGGCTGCACGATTGAAGTTCCAGCCGTCCTGCAAGCCAAAGCGCATCACTTCGACATCACCGTGTTGTTCCAAGAGTTGTGTGATGCGACCTTCTCCGGCATACACCTCCCAGATGAGGCGTTTTCGGTGAGTGATTCCATGCTCACGGGCGTGGTGAACTTGTTGTTGAAGCTATTTGTTGTGGTCGGCCAACTGAGCCTCGAACATGGTGTAGATCTTTCCATCTTTTCAGCGGTCCATCACGCTCTGCTCTCTCAAGGCATTCCCAAACTCCGACTCCGACTATTCACCGAGCCGTGTGGACGCCCACGGATCTGAACCACGTGGAGACGCACCGAGAAGATGAGTCTTGGCGAGGCAAGGCGAGGACGCCACAGATCTCACCTTCGGCACTTCGAAGCGGACAAAACAGAGACTCGCTCGTTTGCGCCGATTGAGCTGTGCAGTCGCAGGGGGTGGTGAAGGGGGGAATTCACCTCTGTACCTCAGGAGGGATGTCAATGACGTTCTCCTGATCCACCTCCATGTACGTGGTGTCATCTGGAATTTCTCCTTTCTCACAAGCCTGAAAATAGGCGTGAACTTCAGTGGTCATCTCAAAGAAGCGCTCGTGGGCGTTGAGGTCATCGAGGAAGTCCTTGAGCTTGAGGCTTTGGTCATGGTCGTCCTCACATCGCAGGTCGAAGGCTGTCGGGAAGAAATCCTTGGGATCATGAACTCCTTCAGCCAATCGCAAGAGCATTGCACCTTGACGGCCACGAGGGATGTCCCGCCAGGTATGCTCATGAAGGAGCTTCATTCGAGACCTGCCAAAATCAACTTCAGCGTGTAGAGCTTCAAGGAGAGGACGTCCAAACAACATTGGCGTTGCGCCATAGATCACATAGGCCTGGATGCGGCCTCCATGTTCAGCCAATCTCGTCGGGAGCTCAACCATCCATCGTGCGTGACCAGATGCATCGCCTCCGAAGCGAAATGCTTTGTCGCAGCGCTTGAAGACCACGTCGTCCATGGGGAATCCAAGGATCTCCAACCACTTCAGGTACCTCAGGACGTACTCGCTGCCAGCCAGAAATGACGAAGCTCCTTGGTCTTGGATGCACGAGTCAGGCTCAGGACGCCAGCCCGAACCAAGGTTTCGCCCTGAGCGTAGGCCTCTTCAGGGCCATAGAAGATCTCAGGCTCGAAGGTCTCGACGACATCGAAGAACTCTTCCTGGTGGAAGGCCATGCTGATCATGGAGTCATCCTCAGCTGGTCGCTTCTTCGGAGATGATGAGCCAGCTGCTTGAGAGGAGTTCAAGTTCGCTGCAAAGTGTCCAGGCTTGCCGCATCGAAGACAAACCATAGCCGATCGAGCTCGAGACTTGCCCATGGGACCTTTTCCACTCTTGGATGAGCCTTTGCCTTTCGTAGGAGATTTGGGCTTCCCTGAGCCCTTCCCTTTGCCTTTGGATGGACTTTGAGCCATCACTGGCATCTGACCTTTTCCACTCTCCATGACGGCCACGACGGGGTAGAAGCCACGACTCTGCCTGAGCTGATTCAGGCGGTTCTTTGCATCCACATAGGTGCTGTAGACGTCGTCGAATTCCTGGGCGTCGAACATGTTGTCCGCATCGTCGTTGGCTTCATCCTGGTAGTAAGTGCTATCAGGCTCATAGTCATTCCAGTCATCAAAGGTCTCCTGATGCTCGTCGTTATACTCCAGGGCGTCCTGGTAGTACATGTCATCGTCATCGTAGGGCTCGTCATGGTCATACTCCTCCTCATAGAACACTTGTCCTTGTCGCTTCCATCGGCCAGGGAGTTGAGGCTTTCTCAAATGAGAGGGGACGTGAACATGCCGATGATCTTGTCCAAGGATGAGGAAGAGAGCTTGTTCCACGGCAGGCAGGGTCAAAGCTGATCCGATGTTCGTCTGAACCAGCTGCTCTTGTTCACGGGTCAAACCTGCCCTTTTCAACATCAGCCAACCTGTGACTTCTTCTGGTAGGTCGACTTTGTGCTTTGCAACCTGTCTCAAAGCTTGGTGGAACTCCGTGGTGTACTCGAGGATGGATTGATCCTTCTTGCGCCTCATTTTGAAGAAAAAGGCATCAAAGTGGGTCGGCATCTCGACCTTTGAGTCGTAGGCTCACTGCTTGTCTAGGCGTTTCAAGAGGATCTCCAGGCCATTCTCCTTCTCGAGTTCCTGGATGTCAAGGTCTTCGCATTGGGTCCATGATGGGCCCTCCAACACGGATAGCACGTTCAGTGCCACTTCATTCTTCCTGCCCTGAAGCTCCAGCTTCCGGGCATACAACTTCACTCTTCGTCGTCACTCGGTGTAGCCGACGGTGGTGTTCTCAAAGCGGGGCACGAAGTTGTCTTTGACATCTCTGCCAGCGCCAGCACCGCCGCTCGCCATGGAGCTGCCGCCAGGAGGGCGAGAGGTTCCGCGCCTCGGGCTTGAGGACATGGCGTCGCGCGTGCTGGAGCCTACCGCTTTGGGTAGGCTCCGCTACCAATATGAAAGAACGCGAAAAGCGAACCAACGTGAAAGCCGCTCGAAGTGCTCACGTGAAAACGGAACAGTCTTTTCCTTTGGGCGTTGCCTGTCATGTCGTGACTCAAGGGGCCCCTGCATAGGAGCAGGATTCGAAAAGTAGCAGCGGCGGTATGCCAAAAGCTGCATGCACAAGAACTCAGGTTCAAGCGACCCGGTTTTGTGGCACGAAATCCACACATATCGCAATCATGACGCCATATAGACAGACAACACTTTTTGCGGATCAACACTACCTAACAAAATCTCGTACACTGCAAGCTAACTCCACTGACGAAGCTTCCAGTGTCGCTGACCTCAGCCAAGACCACAGAAGTTGCAAGGGCAACTTCATCTTCATTGGTCTCACGTGCACCTGCTGCGCTGCCACAACGGCAGCACATCAAAGCCCACGAGACCAAGTGAAAGCAGCCTAAAGCCTGCGGAGAAACTATGAACGTTCAAGAATCTAGAGTAGCATTGTGATAGGCATACAGCAACACATGCGCACTTAAGGGGTTGAGGACAGCTACAAATTGCTGTACAACTCGTTCAAACACGGATGGCTCTGTTCCAAGGGAATGCCTTCCCAAAGTGAGCTTGTCTGCGTCCAGTACTTTTTCACTGGCTCTACTGGTATCGGTAAAAACAACATCAAGTCCAAAGAACTAACACCACAACATTGCAAGCCTTTCACAATGCTACTCATTCCGGCTTGGCAGCAAACATCAATAACAATCCAGCGTCTGCAATCTTCAGCCTTTTGTAGAGATCGCCGTTTCAGCTTTCTTTGACTGGTTTGCACGGTCTGGTGCATCTCGAGGTGTTGTCAGTCAACTGTGATTTGGGGGGCGCAATCCTAAGCTCCAAGTTGTGGGCGTTCTTCAATTCACAAATATGTCGGGGCATGCTGTTGGTATCAGCGATAGACGATAGATGCCAAAGTTCAGACTGTCATGATTCCTGCACCACCCTCTACAGCGTAAACGCACCTTTCAGGGAGACGACGATGGAACTCTCTGCCCACGCATTTGCCAAGCTGCACCTGGCAGCTTGAATCCGGTAGATTGTAGAGTCTGCACCTCACCAAATCACTTTCACCTGCCTGTCAGGTTGTGTAGCGCTTCCAGCCACACATATGAATCCACTTTCCACGTGGCATTGGCCATCGCAGCCATCGCCTGTGTTGCGGTTGCCATCATCGCACTGTTCGCTCTGGTCCTTACAACCAGTGTCAGCTGGCACGTGGAAGGCAGAAACTGGAGGTATTTAAGAATCAGCTTTAAACAATGAGGAAGCATGTGTAAGGATCCAGTGTTGATGGAGTGATGCTGGCCACCAAGCTGCATCTTGTGGCAAGTGATCAACGTCAACCTGACACTGTGAAGGTGTCAAGCCCAAAGAAAGAGACTGCGACACGGCATGACAAGTGCATCGCTTGCACGTAGGAGTCAAAGCAAACTAATGTTTCTAAACGGCTCCCTGGGTGGCGGACAAGCATTCCATCTCCACACACAGGCACCTTGGGCACATCCCGTCCGGGCACACGAAACTGACGAGTGGACTGCTGCGCACACGACAAGTTCCCCGATGTGCTGTAGCAATTACTTCTTTGTTGGCCCGCTCCACCCCCTCCTACTTAAACTATATAATTTGATAGCAATGGCCTCCAACCTAAGAGCGATGGCCTCCAACCTGATAGCGATGGCCTCCAACCTAATAGCGGAAGTGGTGATCTCGCTAGTGAGCAACGGGTGTTGTGAGGAGGTTGTTGGTTGGCACCCAAAACTGTCCTTCTTGCTTCCCCTGATCTTCCCCTTCGGGTCCACGTCTGTATATTACGGATGCGGCCAGAAAAGGACGACCCCGTTTCATGAAAATCCACCGCCTACAGATACTGTTGAAGGAATAAAATGAGGCCGCTGGCCGCAGGATTGCCTTGAGGCCTTGAGGTATTCGGCCTGCAGCTTCTTCCAGGT